TTTCCGCGTAAGGACCCTTTTTTTTTTTTTTTAATTTGCTCAAAATTGGGAGACAAAGGGTGGATTGTAAATTTAAGACAAGTCGACTCTCTCAAGGGTAAAGAACGAAATAGCATTTTAGATTGGAGATGCTCTAACGCCGGAAAGTTTCCGCGTGAGGACTTTTCCATGCCTAATGCCGGAAGCAGGAATGTCTAGGCATGACCAGTTATGCATGGAAAATTTTGGTTCCGGGAGTTGACGGCTATTGACATGGTGAAGGAAGAAAAAAGTTAGAAAATAAATTCCACAATTAAGTTGATGACTAGTGACATCCTGAAGTAAGAATCAAGTTAGAAAAATCTAATTAAGAGGAGAAGTTCATGGCTATTAACATCATATTATAAAAAAAATATTATTTTTAGTTTTATAAAAATATTATTTTTATTTCAGCATATCAAAGAAAAAAATGAAAAATTAATTTTTTTTAAAAAATATTATAAAATATAAAAATAAACAGATGTTTAAACTCAGATATATAAATATTTTACATATCATACATGTGTGATTGAAGGATACATGTCGTTTTAACAAGGCAGCACACTTTTCATGACCTTGTTGTTGTTAAGGATTTTTCTTCCCACATATATTTAGAGCACCATGGGTATAATTAACTATATATAATTGATGTGTATAATTTCTTTTACAGTGCTTTTTACTGCTTCCGGTGCAATATTCCTTAATAGAGTACGTTCATTTTTATCTAGTATTGATTGCAATTTTTTACCCAAAAGTAATTAATTTTATTATTTAAAAATCTCTAAATCTAAAAAAAAAAAACTGTTTTGCATGTCTGGATATATCTTTCTACCCTTAATCATTTGCTTTCTGAGCTTAAAAAAAGATTATTAACCTAAACATATAATTAATAATCTTCAAAACATCAAATAACTTGCCTAGAAATGAGAAATGCAATCGATGATGCTAATGAATTGTCCAATATTTTTAGCATAGAAATGAGAAGCATCACCCTCTGCCCCATAAAAACCTTTCACTGCGTGGGTATGAATACGATGGAATTTGAGGTGTTTAATGGTTTGTTCTCTTATATAAAAAAACTCGTGAATTATATTTTTTATAAATAAAATTTAAATTTTAAAAAATATATTAATTCAACTAAATTTTGCTAGTTTGTGATAAAATTGAATCGGATCAACATCAAATAATTATTTTTAAAATAAAAAATAAAATTATTTTATTTTTAAATAAAAAATATTAATTTAACTAAATCTTGTCAATTTTGTTGAAATTGAATCGGATCAACATCAAATAATTAATTTTAAAATAAAAAATAAAATTATTTTATTCTTATAAAATAATTGACTTAAAGTTAATTGGATCACGCAGTTACCCTGAATTTATTTTAGATGTGTCCTCAGAGCAAGTCTACAACTGGGCCCAAGACATGGGCGAATGGTTGTAAAATTGAGGGAGAAAGGGTGGATTGTAATTTTAAGACAAGTCATCCCTACAAGTCCACTCTCTCTCTATGGTATGGAACGTTCCCGCGTGTGGAATTTTCCATGGCTAATGCCGGAAGCAGAAAGTCGGAATGTCTATGGACATGGTGAAGAAAAAAGTTAGAAAATAAACTCCAGAAGTAAGAATCTATGGACATGGACATGGTAAATTAATTAAAATATATATATATAGTCTTCGGTTTAGACCAAAACGTATTGTATCAAATGTCTTTCAAGTAGTTGAGCAAAGAAATCTGATCATACTAAAAACAAATAGGGATTGCTTTCCATTTACTCCAAACATTTAGGACTAATGCAACTTTTCTTTTTCAGTCGTTTCATTACTAGAAAACTAGCAAATAGCTATGAAAAGACCTACAAAAAAAATGCCATTTATTTCTAACATAGATAGCAATGAAATATGTAATATCAAAAATTTCTTATCTAATAAAAAAAATAAGTAATAAAAATTCCATTTAAATTTTCACAATAAGCTCATGTTATAAGTGAATATCTATCTTTTATATGTTTATTTTTTGTCAATACTTAACAATTTATGGTTGTCAGAAACGTTATTAAAAAAACTAGCAATGATCATATTCATATTACATGCGATTGATTTTCCCCTTAACATCTACAAAAATTAAAAAAATTAAAATGTCATGAACTATTCCTATTTTTAAATTAGTAACATCTCCTCTATAAAAGAGAAAATAATTTAAATTAGATTGTTACAAACCAATTAATTTTATTAAATTTGTTTCTCTTAAGTGAAGAGTTCACTCAACTTGTATTTGACCTAGTTTTAAGATTATTATATATTTTTTAATTTATTTTTATTAATGCATATATTTAATGGGAAACCTTTATTATGTTTCAAATTGTATGTTAATTAGCCAATTGCAGGTAAATGAGTTTAATTCTGAACTAATTATCTAAAAATGTTTTTAATAAGTGAAAGTTAATTTTGGTCTTTATTTTCTTGTTATTTCACAAACAAACCCTTAGTTGGTTACAATCTTTAATATCTTTTCAATTATGCCACTTGATTTCTTTGATTGAGCACTTTGTGTCTTTTACAATATAGTCCTTGGTCTTGACATTCTTTAATTTCATCCTCAATTTCCCTTTTATACTTTTAATTCTTTTGATTTAACCCTTGATTAAATTAATTTGCCTCTCAAAACTTCAACACCCATTCATTTTAGTCTTTGAACCTTTAATTATTGCAATCTTGACACAAATTGATTCTCAAACTTTTTTTTCTTCAATTAAATCCCTAGTTGTATTAATTAACATAAACCAAAATTTCAATTAAGTCCCTAGACTTATTGATTCTTCTAATTCTAACAAATTGACTTCTAAACTTTATTTTTCTTTCATTTTAGCTCCTGATCAAGTCACTTAAACCTTTTTAAAGTTCAATTATGTCCTTGGATTTTTTAATTTAATTAAAAAAAATATTGAAAAAAAAACAACTAATTTCCAACAAAATTTTCTCATATGAAAAAAAATTCATACAATTAAGAACATAAAAAAACTTAATAAGTTATGGATTACATATTCGACTTCCTATCACTGAAAAGTTCTTTGCGATGTTTCTGACAAAGCAGGGTCACTTTTATAAATAAAATTTAAATTTTAAAAAATATATTAATTCAACTAAATTTTGCTAGTTTGTGATAAAATTGAATCGGATCAACATCAAATAATTATTTTTAAAATAAAAAATAAAATTATTTTATTTTTAAATAAAAAATATTAATTTAACTAAATCTTGTCAATTTTGTTGAAATTGAATCGGATCAACATCAAATAATTAATTTTAAAATAAAAAATAAAATTATTTTATTCTTATAAAATAATTGACTTAAAGTTAATTGGATCACGCAGTTACCCTGAATTTATTTTAGATGTGTCCTCAGAGCAAGTCTACAACTGGGCCCAAGACATGGGCGAATGGTTGTAAAATTGAGGGAGAAAGGGTGGATTGTAATTTTAAGACAAGTCATCCCTACAAGTCCACTCTCTCTCTATGGTATGGAACGTTCCCGCGTGTGGAATTTTCCATGGCTAATGCCGGAAGCAGAAAGTCGGAATGTCTATGGACATGGTGAAGAAAAAAGTTAGAAAATAAACTCCAGAAGTAAGAATCTATGGACATGGACATGGTAAATTAATTAAAATATATATATATAGTCTTCGGTTTAGACCAAAACGTATTGTATCAAATGTCTTTCAAGTAGTTGAGCAAAGAAATCTGATCATACTAAAAACAAATAGGGATTGCTTTCCATTTACTCCAAACATTTAGGACTAATGCAACTTTTCTTTTTCAGTCGTTTCATTACTAGAAAACTAGCAAATAGCTATGAAAAGACCTACAAAAAAAATGCCATTTATTTCTAACATAGATAGCAATGAAATATGTAATATCAAAAATTTCTTATCTAATAAAAAAAATAAGTAATAAAAATTCCATTTAAATTTTCACAATAAGCTCATGTTATAAGTGAATATCTATCTTTTATATGTTTATTTTTTGTCAATACTTAACAATTTATGGTTGTCAGAAACGTTATTAAAAAAACTAGCAATGATCATATTCATATTACATGCGATTGATTTTCCCCTTAACATCTACAAAAATTAAAAAAATTAAAATGTCATGAACTATTCCTATTTTTAAATTAGTAACATCTCCTCTATAAAAGAGAAAATAATTTAAATTAGATTGTTACAAACCAATTAATTTTATTAAATTTGTTTCTCTTAAGTGAAGAGTTCACTCAACTTGTATTTGACCTAGTTTTAAGATTATTATATATTTTTTAATTTATTTTTATTAATGCATATATTTAATGGGAAACCTTTATTATGTTTCAAATTGTATGTTAATTAGCCAATTGCAGGTAAATGAGTTTAATTCTGAACTAATTATCTAAAAATGTTTTTAATAAGTGAAAGTTAATTTTGGTCTTTATTTTCTTGTTATTTCACAAACAAACCCTTAGTTGGTTACAATCTTTAATATCTTTTCAATTATGCCACTTGATTTCTTTGATTGAGCACTTTGTGTCTTTTACAATATAGTCCTTGGTCTTGACATTCTTTAATTTCATCCTCAATTTCCCTTTTATACTTTTAATTCTTTTGATTTAACCCTTGATTAAATTAATTTGCCTCTCAAAACTTCAACACCCATTCATTTTAGTCTTTGAACCTTTAATTATTGCAATCTTGACACAAATTGATTCTCAAACTTT